TGCAGTTATCTGAGTACTACTGACTGGCGTTTCTCTGGGGTAGTAAACTTTTGGAATTGATCAAGTAGTAAAGACAAAAACTAAGAGCTAACCCCAGTTTATTGCTTGAGTTCAAATAAGCCATTTCATGACTTATCTGAATGATTTAATAAGCCTTTAAGCTCAGGCCATCTACTTCTGAATAAAGAGGAACAGAGAAAATGCTTAAGTAAAATAAGAGAGAAAGGGAGAGGGAAAGCGCATGGTGCAAGGAAAGAGCAGAATGAAAAGGGGTTTTGAAGATTTGATAGCATAAAACAGAACCAGAGATGCTCATGGGGACTGCAATAATAAGATGTTCCTGAGAATTTGGAAATTTCCAGGGAAGATCAGATGACTGACGAAATTGGTAAACTGCAAAATGTGACTGAGAAAGCCCAGGAGAAGAAAAGCTTAGAGAAGGAAAGATGTAACTTGAATTACAGCAGGAAAGAAGCATGTTAGATGAATGAATGCAAGTAACTTGGGAAAAGACTTGAGTGTTGATAATGTAATTTGTATTAGAACCAGTGGACAAAGCAGCCTTCTCTAAGGACCAACCTGGAGAAGTACAGGAAAGGATCTGGCCAAAGCCTGCTGCGAGCTGAAGCTTGGGCAGAAAGGAGTAGGTTCCTATATGGCTGGGAATTTCTGTGAAGAGATAGAACCACATGGTAATGAAAGCTCACTATTTACTCTATCCTCAGTTTTTTAGACAAATTACTCCAATAATTCTTGCAGTGGTAACCACCTTACCTGATAGTAAGACATAAGTTCCTATCAGTATAAACCTGCTATCTCCCTGCTTCTGAGATGCAACAGTGTTTATCACTTCTGGACTCTCCAGTGGCACCAGACATTACCCTAACCATGAGTCAGAGATGTTACGGAATGTTCTTAGCAGGAGACCTTTACAATATCACAGAATATCACAGAATAATAGGAGTTAGAAGGGACCTCGAAAGATCATCCAGTCCAACCCCACTGCCAGACCAGCATCACCTAGACTAGGTCACACAGAAGAACTAATTAGAAGAACTAATGTTCCCCAAAGTGAAAAAGTTTCTATGTCTGCATGTTTATTCACATAATGGAATTATTTCAACAAGGAAAAAAAAATCATTTTTTAAAGTTAACTCCGCTAACAATGATGGAACACAACATGAAAGTAATAACAGCACTGTGTTAAGTTGGTAGATAATTATTTTTTATAATTTAAGTAATTACTAAGCTATAAGAACTGAATAAATTTACAAGGTAGTATGAAAATGAAAAAGTACTCTACTTCAAAAGTGATGAAATATAAGGATCAGACTCCATACAGTGCTCTAAGACTATTGTATTATGCAAATCCCCCCAATCAATTTTCAAATGTAGTTCCCACAGTGTACAAATTAGTGAGATTTTCATTGGCCTCTGCCCTGAATTTGAAATCAAATAAAATTAAACCCCTATTAACAATGCCTTAGGGTAAAGTACTCACATCTTTATTTCTGCTGACATAAGTATCTATCCTAGGGTTCTGTTTCAAAATTTCTCTCAGCTTATTCATAGAGTGTAAATCAAATCCACGAGTCTTTAAAAGCTTATTGAACAACACAATCAATGAATCAACAATCTCATTAGGTAACCAGACAGAAGAAATTATTGCAAACAGTGCCTTTGCATAGATGTCCACATAAAACTGGTATCAATCACGTGGTCCTGTGATTAAAACTGAAGAGCCATTCAATCCATTTTGTTGGTATAAGAAATCACCCAAGTGTTAGAAGAGCAGCCAGTGCAGTGTAAGCTTCCTTTATGGTATAATACAACACAGATGTCAAATAATGCTTAATTTCAAAGACATTATCTGCTGACACATGTAAAGGTAGTAAAGGAAGAAGCACCAATTCTTTGTATTGATTTTAAACTTTGGACTTTATCCAAAATTTCTCAGTCCTACCTAAGAGAAGAAAAGGAAGTCACTTGTAGGACCCTATAGCTTTTGAATTTGGAAACATACATATATGTGATGTTAACTTGTTGAAATTGTAACAGCTGCAAGTGCCAGACTGCAGAGCATTTATGCATTTCTCCTGCATAAAGCCTATCAAGTTTTGCTGTTAATAAGATATGAAGACATGAAGGGAACCTTTTCCCTTCTTCACCATCTCCCAGATCTTACCCCACCAGAAACCTACAGCTGAGCTATTTCTTTACAGCACCTCCACTGAGGGTTCAACATTTGAAAATTCAGACATGGGACTTGGCTTCAAATGACTTGACAGCTGAGTAGAACATCAGAGCGGCTGTGGTGGTCAACTCTGAAATGAGTGAGACCTGGATGTGAAAGAGCTTGTATAAAGCAATGAGCTTTCATATCATATGCAAGTAGTGCAATGGGCAGGGCTTTACCATAAAAAAAAAATTTGATTGCGTATACTAGGGAAGGAAGTCGCTTGAAGTGACTGCAATGTACTATGGCAATGACTCCAGACAAAAATGGTAAAATAGATCAAAAGGTTGAAAAGATTTTAAAATTACAGAGCTGGATATCCAGATTAATTTTTTGTTGGACTACCTTATCAGTGTTCTTTGTGATGTTAATAGGGGTTAGATCTTCATAAATGCATGAAAATACATAGAGCAGAAAAATTAAGTATGGAGAGAGCACTATAGCAGAAGGACAAATTTGTTCATGTCTACCTAAAAATCTTGAAGTGCATTATCATCTCAGTCCTGTATATTGATCAGGCATCCAAAGATTACTCCTAAATAAAAAAATAAATAAATACAACCTTTTTGGAAGAAGAAAGACCAAAGGATCATAACAGTGGAAAGGATAAATTTGCTGTTATCCATTCCAGCCTTTTATGGAATTTTTTTATAATAGAGTGTATTGTCGTGTAAGTGATTTGTGTTTAAGCAATTGGGTTTACAGCTGAGTAGAAAGGTTGGAACGGATTTGGCAGTTCTGCCTGAGAGGATAATATGTTCCACTTGATTGCCAAGGCAGGTCTGGAGAATTGCCAGTGGACCTACAACCATCCATCAAGCACAAGCAAAAAGCAGTGGGGAGCTAGCAAAACTCTCCAGTTTATGAGGTACTTTTGGCTTCAAGAAGAGCCTTGCTGCTTATAGCTCAGTTTCGTTCTACAAAGATGGACTACATCTATATATAGCAACATTTGGTGCTGAAATGCAGCTCTTCTCTGGCATGTATTAGTGTGCAGTAGTACAACTTATTTTCACAGATATAGATATTTCCCTCCCTCTTAGCTACGTTTAAACTTAGTATTTGTTGTCCTAACTGGTTTACTATTGAAAACTTGCAAAAGTGACCGCCAACATGCAACCACTTCATTTCTGTTCTGCGGAAGCCTCACATAGG